TCAGTAGTCTGTGACAAGCAGACACCTCCAATTAAACTTACTAGTTCCCGGTAGGTCTCCTTTCAGTGGAATTTTGCTTGAAGTTTCTCAGCCTGACGCATGTGGGTGTATTAATGAGTCTCTCTGATCCCCTTACCACGGACGCATTGAATGTGCTGCCTCTTCGCCGGCGGCCATGTTGGGCTCCTAATTGGCTCTTTAAGTTAAAGAAAAGAAGGAAGGAAGGAAGAAAATCTTTGTATTTATAAAAGCATTTTCATGAAGACACTCATAGAAGCCATTATGCCTAGTAATATGCCAAAGGAAAACACTTAAAACTCACGTTTTTATCTTTAAAAATCAAATCTGTTTTTTGGTGGTGTGTGTTATGCTGCTGTATTAGTGTTTTTATTTTCAAGGACAATCATAGAATGCTTCTTGCATGTSGTATATTGATGTCAGGGATTTATAGAAAGAACTTATAATTCTTACATCTTAACAGTATAAGCTTTTTTTTTCTTTCTCACTCTCAAAGCACTATGAATTTTGTCATTGTCTCTAATTCTAGGCATTCAACTGTAAAATCAAATGTCAGAGACAGCGCATCCTATATATAGTTAAAAAGTACTTCCTTTTCAGAAATGTTAGTTCTTTATATAGTGTATTACTTCATGTCTCACTTTCATTCTAGTAACATTGGTAATGCTGTTAGTCTAGAACCAAGTAGAAATCTAACGGTAGCAGGTTCCCAGCATCCCCATCTGTATAAATTTTGTCAGTGGTTTGTCAGTGTTGTAATGGGCTGCAAAATATTAAACAATAATACCTAAGAAGTAATCATTTGAAATAGTTTCTCAGCTCCAAGATAGTTCTCTCTTTAATTTTCTACAAGAATAGATTATGTTTTAAATGGAGAGCTGAAGGAGATAAGGATAAAAAACCCGTATAAGGGCTGGAATTGTGGCTCAGCGGTAGAATGCATGCAAGGCCCTAGGTTCGATCCTCAGCACCACATAAAAATAAATAAACAAAATAAAGGTATTGTATCCAAATACTCCCGTGTAACAGTAGATATGTAATCTCATTTGTAATAGTAGATATGTAATCTGATTTGCCTTTGTATATTGCAATATTAGCATGCCTGTATTTATTTTCTATTGATGGTGTAATAAATTACCACAAATTTAGCAGCCTAAACAATATGTATTTATGAACTTGTAGTTCATTGGGCTAAGATCTAGGTGTTGGTAGGGTCGTATTTTTTTCTGAGGCCTCCTAGGAAAAATGTATTTATCAATTCCTGAGGTTCTTGGCAAAATAGAATTCTTGGAGTTACAGGGCTASGACCAAAGTTCTAATTTTCTTGGTGGTGGCAAGCTAAGAGCCTTTTACAACTTTTAGTGTCCTGGGTCCTGCCGGGTTCCCTTCTTCCATTTTCAAAGCCAGTAATTTGGGGCTGAGTTCTCTTGTCAATGTCTCTCACCCATTATTCTTCAGTTAGCAGACAGTTCTTAAGACTCTTTCAGTTATATTGGACTCACCTCCATAACCCAATAAATCTGTCCATTTTAGATCCTAAACTTGATCATATCTGCAAAGTTTCATTTACTGAGTGATATAATGTATTCACAGCTTCTGTGGATTAGAATGTGTACCTCTTTGAGGGACCGTTATTCTGCCTATCACATTGGCTAACCTAGGAATTTTGAATGCCTTATATTAAAAAGCAAATTAATCTATAGTGTGAGATCCTTGACTCAGGAATTGAAAACTGATCTAGCCTTCTAATTCTTTCCCTTCAACTTTTCTTATTTAGACCTTGGGCTAGAGATGATTATAACTASTTCTCATTCTGATCCAAAGAAAAAGGTTGATCAGAGTTTCTGTTATGATTTTTATCTTCCTTGGATAGAAGAAAATAAGTTTAACAAAACTTTTGGAGGCTATAGTGGGAATAAAGTGAGAAATGATAATTAGTGCTGAGCAGTGTTATTTCAGTTTCCCATTTAGGTGCTATCATTATTTCATGTTACAGGTGAGGAAACTAGGCTTAGTAGAAGTTGTTAGCTTGCTTAAGGTTTGGCTAGTAAGTTGTGTAGCCACAACTCAAGCCCATATCTTTCTGATATTTAACTAATTGTTTTCATCACTTTACTATACTATCCCTTTTTGTGATAGCATTTAATTTAATATGATTGTTCTTATTAAGGTCTTACAAGTATGCAGATGGAAACCTTGCAATTTAAATTATCATTTTATCAATTAGGTACACTTTACAATTAATTTTATTTTTTTTCATACAGGTGAAAAACCATACAAGTGTCAAATTTGCAATCAATCTTTTAGAATTAAAAAAACCTTAACAAAACACCTGGTTATTCATTCTGATGCCCGACCTTTCAACTGTCAGCATTGTAATGCAACATTTAAGCGGAAAGACAAATTGAAATACCATATTGACCACGTTCATGGGATAAAATCTCCTGATGATCCTCTCAGTACTTCTGAGGAAAAACTTGTGTCCTTGCCGGTAGAGTACTCATCTGATGATAAAATCTTTCAAACAGAAACAAAACAATATATGGACCAGCCCAAAGTTTATCAACCAGAAGCCAAGACTATGTTACAGAATGTATCTGCTGAAGTGTGTGTTCCAGTAACATTGGTTCCAGTTCAGATGCCTGATACTCCGAGTGACCTGGTGCATCATACTACCACACTCCCACCATCTTCTCATGAGATTCTGTCACCACAGCCACAGTCAACTGATTATCCACGTGCRGCTGATTTAGCTTTCCTGGAAAAATATACTCTTACTCCTCAACCTGCAAATATAGTTCATCCAGTCCGACCTGAACAAATGCTAGATCCTAGAGAACAGTCTTACCTTGGAACATTACTAGGCCTTGATAACACTACTGCTGTTCAGAATATTTCTACTAATGAGCATCATTCATGAGTAAACATTCCACAGACTTTATGATGGTTATGTGCTAAATGGTAGCTAAAACCTGGTGGCTTTTAAGCTAGTAGGGCTGCTATTTTTTCATTTTTTGTAGTTTCTCAAGTCCTCAGAACAGTTTCAGATCAAGAAAACAGTGTGTCTCTGTTGACTGAATACATGAATATTTGGACATAATTTGGCATAATATTTGAAGTAAACATTTTTGTGATTTTTTTAATGGTTAGTGCTAATTTTTAATAGGTTCTTGAACTTTTCAGAATTAGCTACTGACGTTATGGGGATTTTTTTTTAATCATCAGTGGAAAGTTTTATTCTTTAGCCTTATATCTTTTCTTCTTTCCCCATTTTACAAACAAGTTTAAGAACCATGTAGCCCKTAAGAAAGAATGTAGAAGTATACTGATAATTTCTTATCCTAACTTATTTTATCTACATTTTTAATTGAAATTAAGAATTTGAATATATAAGAAAGTCTTTGGTATATTTGTGATATCTTGCCATCTATTCATAACTTCAGGTATAATAATCCTTCAGACTTTTGACATACTCAAAGCCAGAAGCTAATTTATATAAGATTAGCATGTTAAAAGAAATGTTGGATTGAAATCATAATCCAGATATTCAGGTTTTGCCTTTACTTGAGTTATTATGAATAATAAATGCAAACATTGATCTACACATTAAATTATACAAGTTAAAAATGTGTTAGATGAAAAATATGACAGCCTTAACTAGATATCTCCAAGGTAAGTTAACCTTTTGAACTTTTTTTGTCATTTATTTCAGGAACATTAACAATATGTCATAGCATATATCTTCGTCTCATTAATGAAGGAGCAGTTATGACTAATTAGTGACACAATTGAATGCATTACTTTTGAGTTTCATTTACTTTGACAGATTGAAAGTGGGATAAAGAACCTGCTTACTTCATGTATAATCATTAGAAAAGATGCCAAACAAATTCTAAAATTTGCACCTACTTTACTTTAATTGAATGAAGCTACTACTTGTTTACAGATTCACATACAATCCAGATCTTTATTTTTGCTTTCATAATTAGCGGAATGTTTATAATTATCCTTGATTCTTATTTTTTTATGAGACACAAGTTGAGGACTTGGAGAAAAGAAATAGCAGTTAACAGTGAAAGCTCACTGATTGAATTTGAGGAAAAACATTGAAATTATAGAATACCTTTAAAGATATGCACTTTCCATATTTTCAAGTCAATTTAAACTTACACTAGGATAATGTTTCCTAGTAGGATTGCTTGAGGATTTGACTGGACAGGGTTGATTTATTATTGATTTGCCATTTATCTGTAAACTACTGGAAAATAGCAGTTCTCAAAGTTTTCCATTTTAATTTTGTTTACACTCCCAATTGCTTTAAGCACTTTTTTGTGTGTAAACTGTAAAGTCTGGCCTGGCCCTTGTGAATAAGAAAATCACAAATAAAATAATGAACTTTTAGTGAATAAAGTTTAACCAGTTAGTAACGGAAGAAACTGATGAAGCACTTAAGAAATGAAGGTACTTTATAGGAAAAYTTGCCATGTTAGTGATAATAAAAACAAAAAAAATGTTGAGAATTGAAGCATTTAACCAAAGTAGTTCATATAAATAATAAAACCAACCTGAGTTTTGCCTCATTTATTAAGGTTTAGTTATAATTATCTTAGGACCAGTAGACATAATTACTATATTATCTCTTCTTTCTAAAGCATTCTCATTTACTTTATGTGGAAATGTTATACCTGGGGTACTTACATGATTGAGCTTGACTATAAGGTACTGTTAGTCTAGTCTTTCAGATTGACTGTTAAAAATACATCTTTATGATTTTTATTATAAAGACTGACAAGATTTTAACTAAAAATCTTAACTATAATAAAAAAATAAATCATACCTAAAAATATACTTTGCCTTATATATAAGCTAATATAGAAAAATTTGGACTCACAAAAAGGCAAATGGTATATATATATGTGTATGTATATGGTATATTGTATATTTGGTGGCCAAAAAAAAGAGGATATTGCATTTTCACATTGAAAAGAATACTTTGCTGTTTGAAGGTATTTACTTTAGGGTTCTTTTAATAATGTTCTAATGTTTTAAATATATGGTATAATTGTAGGGATTGGTTTACATAGAACTTTTCTGAGAAACRTCTCTTATGTAAAGTGAAATACAATTGTATAATTGTATTTAGTTATTATTGAAGATAACTTAAACTTGAATAGTGGTTTACTGTTTTCTAAAATGCTTTCACTTATTATCTCATTTGAACCTCATAACCAGCTCTGAAATAGAAAGGACATGTTGTATTCCCATTTTGTAGAGAAAGAATCGGAGGTTAAGATGAAAGGACTCATTTAAATTCATGTGATCAGTAAGTTGCAGAGTTACCAGTAGAAAAGAAGAAAGGTGGCATTAATGGTGGCTTACTATGTGCCAGGGATTACATTCCCTCACTTAACTGTAACCCTGTTTGGTAGAGAGTTTAATTCTTATGAAGAAACAACAAAAAGAAAACTAATCTGCTGCCTTGAATTTCCAGAAATATAAGAAATTTTGAAATTGGGAAAACCTCATGGATTTGGGCAAACTGAATGTATGTAAGCTTTTGCATTGAGCACAAAAAGCATAAAATGAAGCCTACTCTTTTCAGTTTACCTTTCTATAACCCTGTAATCCATTTTATTTTATAACTATCCTTAAAATTTTGACTTAAGTTTAGCCTTATTGAGAATTGTTATTTTATAAACATAATTTATTGTTTTAAGTTAATTTCTTAGCAGATAGCAATTAGCACTTAGTCTGTAAATTGAATAATTTATCAAGTGCAGAAATTTATTAACCTAATCTGTTTTGACTTAAATGCACCAAAGATTTTTAGTAGGTATTAAATAGTCTTAAAAATTTTAAATTCTTTGTTGTTTGAATAAGTATTTGTCCAAAGAAGCACAGTTGAAGTCCTAGAAATATGGGTTTAAAGAAAAAACAAACAAAAAAAACTAGTTTGAATACTGAGATTAAGTATTAAATGTTTGTGTTTATATGTATAACAATAAAAACAGACAAAAATACTCTGGGAATAGTATACTGACAAACCAATTATAAGTAAGCATACTCAGTTTTCTTAAGTTTAATTGAATGTTGTTTTTAGTGAACACTATCAAATGCTAAATAATCTTATTTTTTACACTACGTTATCAAAATAATTTTTGCCTTAGAAATTTTTGGGGGGTTAAGTTGTTATTTTTATATATATATAAAAAACCCACCTATTTTTTGCAGCCTAAAATACCATTTGAGATTAGGATTTGTTCCTCATACCAGCAAGACATAACCAGTAACTATAAGGTAATAGTTTTTGCATACTTTTGAGTAATTTAGGCATTCATTGCTGAGAAAAGAGGAGTAGCAAAAGTAGGGTTTTAAATTGGTGCTTTAGTGAGTGATTTTCTTTTAAGTGATGGTAGGTCATGAAATAATTACAAATGTTCTGTGAAACTTAAAGTGTCCAAACATGTTTCCAGAGTGACCATAAAATATTAGTTAAGGGCTAATAAATAATTAAACATCACTCATTGCTTTTCACTCTATAATTGTTAACAAATTCAATACAGTTGAACTGGTATGTTTATAAGCCTGAATTTTCTTCTTACCATATCATTCTAATATAATTGATGAAAAGTCAGATTTTAAGCATTAGCTCTTTGACAGTGTCATTTTATACCATCTTTTCTTGACTATTTTGTGCCTTTTCAAAATGTTATACTTGCTTAGTTGATTCTGCTAGCTAGATTGTACTGGTTAATAAATGATTTTGTTTTGTTTTGAGTTTCTTGTTTGTTATGGGTCTTATGTTTTGTTGCCTGCTGGTTAGGCAACAACTTGTTTAGGTTGTTTTATGTTTATGTAGGAAAATTGGCACTAAGCGCTAGTGTGAACATTTGTTTTTATGATTTATATGTCATTTTTTAAAATCTGTATTGTAGCCTATATAGTTAACTGTGAAGTCACTCCTGGGCCTGTCTTTAAATGCTTATTAGAAGAGTCTAACAAATAAAATGAATAGTGTRTCTGTCTCTCTCTCTATCTTTTTGGATAATCATAACCAAGCAGTTACCATAACCACACTGTTCTGCACTGAGTGACTTCTTATTTTAATTTGCCTAAATCTGAACAAGAGGTGATGGTTTGAGATAAGATTCCTATTAGAAGCAGCAATATCCCAACCAATATATAACTTGAGTTGATGAACTCAGGAAAAATCAGGATTTTTAAAGTCATATTTGGATATTCTAAGACTTAGTGCCAAATTTTAAATGAAAATAAAATGTATTCTTTTTCATAAGGAACAATAACAGGTTTCTAAAACTTTGAGTAGTGTAATAGTAAATATTACTTGCTATTAGTGAATGATGGATAATGTGAGAATAATTTTCTATTCAATTTCTAGGAACTAGGCAATTTTATAGATCCTACTCTTTGCACATTTCCCCTGCTATAGTCCATAGTGTTTTAGGGTGTTCCTTTATTTCCTCTGAATTTTTTTTTTTTTTTTTTACCTAAAATGCTTTCCCTCTATCATTAGCATGCTTTCTGCTCTTTCTCTTTGAAAGTAGCATTAGTAAGATAGAAGTAATAGGATTAGATTGTGTGGAGAATGGGAGCAAGAAAGTTTTTGTAGAGAGAGAGAGTACTTACATTTTGCTTACTCTTCATGTTTTAACTTGCTGTGTATTGATCTTAAGTCTATGACTTGAACAATCCCCAAATAATTAAAATTTAGTCTCTGCAGCCATTTCTATAAAGAGAAATTAAGGATTATATTCAGAGCATAGAAGTTATCAAAGATGAACCTAACCTTTATTTTTTTTCAAAGTAGGTTAAAAAAAATTCAGTATTTGCATTACTGTTGGGGATTCAGAAGTGTGTTTTGAATAAAGAGCATGTGCACATCTCATTATTAAGCCTCTGCTTGCTACCTGTGCTTGCGTTAAAGTTGGACAATGTACACTGTGCTATGAAGTAATTATAAAAATTTTATTCCTTTCAACAATCACTCTTATCCCTATAGCTAAAACTGTAATAACCGTTGATGAGTGTGGCTGCCAAAAAAAAAAAAATTACAAATCTGGATATTTAACTGYTCCATGTTGTGTAATAAATGTTCTAATTAAGGGGATTTATGATGTACATTAAAGTAGAAGTGGTTTTGGACTTGTTTTCAGTCTCAAATAATAATTTTTGTTTTTAATTAAGGATACTTTCAAGAAAAATTACAAAGAAAAATCTGAAATATCAAAATTCATGATTGTCAACTGTATAAAATGTGAGTTTAATAGATATTTTGTTTGTCTCATGTTTCTTAAGTATAATGTCTTTATAGAAAAATTTAGTTCTCTGTGAAGAATAGGAAATGTCTTGTATATTGAATTAGTTCTTTGTGTTATTTTGATATTTAAAATAAACAGAAAGTTCTTTGGTCCTAATAAAGTATATCTAGGTTTTATTGAATTATATTTCCACATCATGGAAAATGCAGTACTCTGCATGCCTCTGTAAAACTGAATTCAAAGACCATGAGCAAATGGAAAACCAACTACTTGGGGCACACTTTTACTTTTATTTCTTAAAAATTACATATCATTTTAAATTTTTTAAAAATTTAAATATTAAATATTTAAATRTAAAATTTAAATATTAAATRTGTAAACCTCAAACAATCCAATGATTCATAAGTGTCTAAATTCAAATATTAATAATGACTGTTTTGTTTGAAGTAGTCATATTGCACTTTGTTTTGTTTTTGTGTGCTGATCATTGAACTCAGAGGCACTTTACCACTCAGCTATATCCTAGCCCTTTTTGATTTTTATACTGAGATATGGTCTTTCTGCCTTGCCAAGGCTGTCCTCAAAACTTGTAATCTTGGGGCTGGGGATGTGGCTCAAGCGGTAGTGCGCTTGCCTGGCATGCGTGCGGCCCAGGTTCGATCCTCAGCACCACATACCAACAAAGATGTTGTGTCCGCCGAGAACTAAAAAAAAATWAATATTAAAAATTCTCTCTCTCTCTCTCTCTCTCTCTCTCTCTCTTCACTCTCTCTCTTAAAAAAAAAAAACTTGTAATCTTATTTCAGGTTCTCGCTGTGCTCAGCTTTATGGTGTTTATTTTGGAGAGAAATCTATGAAGTATAGCAACATTCTATTAATTAAATCAGTTATTCTGTATAATAGTGACAGTGGAGACTCTGACCTCTTAAACCCCTCACAAACAGACCTCTACATTCTGGTCATCGGAGAAATGATTGCTGGTTAAAGGCATAAACTGTATGCCAGAGGACAGTACCCCACCCTTGCAAACTATTGGCTCCATCTGGCCCCTTAGGCTGTTGATAGACCATAAATTCTATCAAGGCAGCAGCTTTTCARTGTTACAAGACTAGTAAATTCTCTAGGCATGAGTCCCATTTCTGCAAAGTGAGTTTGCTGATGATAGGCAACATTGTATGTAATATTTAATTGCTGTCTAGCAAATGATACCAAACGTAGTGGCTTAAAACAACAGACATTTATTGCCTCACAGTTCTGAGAGTCAGGAATCTAGATGAGGCTTAGCTGGGTGATTTTGGCTCAGGGTCTTTAATGAAGTTGAAGGCAAACTGTTAATCCGGGTTGCGCTCTTAACAGAATAGCTATACTTCCAAGCTCACTCATGTGGCCATTGGCTTAARTTCCTCACTATGTGGCCTCCCCACAAGGCTGCTTAATGATATGGCAGCTGACTCCAACCCCCACACCCAACTCTTCACACACACCCTATCAGAAAGCAATCCAAAAAAAGAGAGAGTATASGTAGGATTTAAGCTCAGTCTTTTCCTAACCTAATCTTGGAAATGATATTGCATCACTTCTGCAGTACATTRTGAGTCACTAGTTCTAGTCCACGTGCAGGGACACAAACTTTCCCTCTTGAAGTAAGGAGTAGAAAGGGACTTTTGAGATATTTTGAAAACCATCACAGATTCATTGGTTATAGATGGCAGTTAGTACCACCATGTATATTCAGAGAGAAAAAATATTGCCCCTACCATAAAAGGTTTAGTGTAACAACATGCCATAGGAAGTTGCCTKGTGCCACTGGAAAATGAAGTTATTTGGGGGAAGTTAGCATTGATCTTCGTTAGGTTGGGCACTCAACAGTGGCCTTTCACATAAGCGTTGGTAAGGGTAGACCATGTGTGAAGTTATTCTTGGTCTCTGCCCATGCTACTATGGCCACAGGGTAAGTGGGTTCCATGAATAAGCAAATGGATTCCTTCCTTAGGAAAGATTCTGACATCCACAGGACAAGGTTATTGTTTTTACCTGGTTCTTAATCTCCTTGCCTGCCATGGATGTTTTCTGATAGGCATTTACATGCAACTTAATTTTAACATCCTGTACTTATTTTGGCAGGCCTTTTTACACACTTCTCTTCAGACTGTCTTGACACCAATTTTCCATATTGATTTTTCTAAAACTTCGTCCAGTTAACCAACCCATTAGCTATTACCCAGGAATCTGCATAAATCCTTAGACTGTCTTCCTTATGAAGTAGACTACTAAAACATTCTCAAAGAGTATGTTTCATCCATACCTAAGGGGAAGCTATAATATAGCTTTGTTCTCATCCGATCAACCCTAGAGATCTCTCCATAAACCAGAGTTTTTACTTTCTTCATGAAATCTCCAATTTTACCTAGGCATAGTTTGAGAGGCAGAAAAGTAGTAGAAGATATATATTATAGAAATCTTTAGTCACTTGTTTGCCGTAGCTTGTGTGTTTTTAAGGCCTGTGTAGATCTGAGTGGGTATGTGTCATTTTTGCTTGATAATGGAATGTTGCTTGTTAAATCGATTTTAGGTCAGCAAACTTCTTTGTAAAAGACTAGAAGCTAAATATTTTTGGTCATGCAGGCCATATGATTTCTGTCACGACTATTCTGCCAGTGTAGTGTAGAAGAATTATATACAATATGTAAATTAATTGTCATGACTGTGTTCCAATAAACCTATTACAAGAGAACAATGGGCCAGACTTGGGCCTCAGGACTTAGTTTGCTGATCCTGTGTTAGGTGATAGTTGGCAATTTTGGATCACAAAATTCCTTTTATCCTATGAGAACATATTCAGTCTCTATCATAATCTAGTAGCAAAACTAAGATCTGTTTTTCAAATAGCAGATGTTTGCAGAGAAGGCATAACCTTATTGACAAACCTAAAATTTTGTGCCATGATACATCTATGGAAATTTCCCAGAGCTTCTATTCCATATCCATGATTGTGATGGACTCTTAAGCCTTTTATGCCATGTCCCGCGCAGGCAGTGGGAATGGGGTTCCCCTCACTGGAATGGGCTGAGAAATAAAAGCTAGGAAAACTACAATTGTGGAAAAAAAAAAAAAGAATACAGAACGCAGTTTTAAAGTGGGGGCAGGACGGGCAAGCTGACCAGATGGATCGAACTTCTGACAAAATGGAGCCTGGCCGTTTTATTTATATCGGGAAACATCAAAGAGATTCTACAGACTGTTATTTTCCAAAAAAAAAGGTGGGCTTTTTAGTTTCTAATGGGTTATGCCCATCTCTGTTGGTACTATGAGGAATCTTTCTAGCAGAGTGAAGGGAAAAGTCATGTGCATTGGGAGAGCCATGCGAAGTTCCCAATGCCAGGCCTATCCCTCCCTGGCTTCCATGATGAGAGAAGGTCCTCATGTATTTCATTGACGGCTTCCTGCAATGCCACATTTCACAGTTAGCAAGGGAGGATATATTGCAGTGTGGACCTGTTGCAGAGGCCTTGCTCCAGTACCCAATTAAAAAAAAAAAAAAAAAAGTTCACTAGATAAATGGATTGGTGAGACATGCCCTAATAAGATATGCAGTGCCTCCAAAATCTAAAGAGGCCTTCCAAATGAAACAAATGTACAGCAGCTGCCTCTTTCTTTAGAGGGGATATCCTGACATGTCCTAGACCATTAGATACTTGGATACTTTATTGATGCAGTGGAATCCTGAGCTTTGCCATTGTTTCTCTCTTACCACCTGGCCTAAGATAGTGTTAGTATTATATAAACACTTAAATACAAACTGCTTCATGTTTTCTGTACTGAATGAACAGGGCAAAAAAATATTTTCCTGGACAGTAACCCATCTAGCTTTTTCACTGGCAAAATTAGCAAGGTAAGGGGGTATATGGATGTAATCACTAGTCCAATATCCCTCAAGTCTTGACAATAATCTCTGGATTAGAAGGAAGAGGAGGCATGGTCAGAAGCTTCTACTTGACTATCATAATATCCCTTGCTTCTTGGATTTAAGACCCAGCTTAAAAATGCTGTCAGGAACTATTCCCATTTTTATTCTGGAGCTAGATGGATCCAATGGACACTCTGTGAAACAGACTCAGGCCTAGATGCTATTTATCTCCTGATGTCTAGAAGCTCCTTCTATGAGCTCTGGTCCATGGTAGCATTTAAGTTTTGTGAAGTGTATCAGAAAGATAGAGCCATCACTTCATAACCAGTGCACAGTCTGGTTATTCCTCTCTCCTCCATCCATAGTCACATTGATAAATGGCTGCAGTTCTCTCTCAGGAAAGTTTAAATGATTTAGGACATATACTTATATTCATTTTGAATGGTTCTTTCTCATAGGTGCAAGACCTTTCCTTAGTCAAGTAGTTTGTGTCTGGGCAAGAGGCTCTAAATCGCCACAATACTAACTTCAGTTTTTCCTTCATAGATGTTGTAATTTACACACACACACACACACACACACACACACACACATTTATATTTCAAGCAGCAGCATAATCCACTGCTTATCTTATTTCTAGGGATTTTCTATCAATTAGCTACTGCCACAAATCCATACCTCTACCATTTAGACCTTGGCATATTATGGTAAGTTCTATCACACCTGCTGTGTTAAGTACCAACAAGTCTTGGCCACTTGTGGATCCTATCATCCACTTGAAGATCAGAGAGGCTGTTTTCATTGTAGCATCCTCTATTATCATTTCTGTCATATAGAGAACAGGATGCTATTCTTCATATGTGTTTTCAAGAATGCTCGAGTCTCACAGCAATGCATTTCTTAAAGCCTCAGTTGAAGGAAGGATTCTGAGGTAGGGGGAATATGTATGTTTAGGGGTAGCTAGGTTGCACTTATAGATGTTCTACAACATTTCCATGTTCCTAAACCTTTGGAATTTTTATTCTACAAAATAAAAAAGGTAGATAATTCACTGTAAACCACTACTGAGTTCAACTTTCAATCAATGAATTACAAGTAGTAAAGCCAACCCGTAAAACTATTGTTCCAATGAATTAATGGCAAAGTGTACCCATGACAATTATTTCTGATTGTTTCTTAAGATTTGTCCCCTTGGTTTAATACTATTATAATCCACTTTAGACTATCAAAATCTTGTAACTCTTTTAGTATGCAGTACAGGTTATTTCCTCTCACAGTAGTTGTCACATTTACTTTTTCTGCCCATGTTTTATTTTTTGCAATCTGAGTTAATAAGCGATCATGGGGAGGGGAAAATGCTGAAAATTGACATTGACTTTGTGAGTCCCTGCTCCAGRTGCAATTCTTAGAAAATAAGGAAGCCCTCAAATTGACATAGGGTGAAGGGGGCTGCCTGTGCTGGAAAGGGAAGTTTACAGAAATAAAGAGGTTTCCAGTTCTCAGCCTTGTCAATTCTCCAAATGTCACTGTTAGTCAGCCTTCTGCCACCATAATAGATTGTGAGATATAAAAAGAGAACAGGATTATTTTGGCTCAGTTTTTTTTTTTTTAAAGGTTCCAGTCCTTGAACAATTGGCCCTCTTTCTTTGGGCCTGTGGTCACACTTCATGGCAGGAATATGTGGTAGAGCAAAACAACTCAGCTCATGATCAGTGAGCAAAAGACAGGAAGAGAGAGGTGGGAGTCCCACTATTCCTTTTAAGGGGCACGCTCCCCAATGACCTGAATACCTCCCACAAAACACCATATCTTACAGGTTCCACTACTTCCCAGTAGCTCCTCACTGGGGACCATGTCTCTATCTCATGGACTGTTGGATGAACATTCCAGGTCCAAAATATGATAGTCACCATACTCATTCCCAAGGAAATCCTCCTTCTCCATAAAACCTTTTACCTAGTCTAAAAGAATTAACACTGTAGAGCATTTAAATAGTGTTGTTAAATTTTTTATCCAATCCTTGGATTTACTATCAGATATTTGTGTTTAATTCTTGACCATATTTTCCTTAAGAATACAAAAAGTGAGGGACTTCTTCAGAGTTTCATAGATGCCTCTTGTTTTCAGAAAATGTTCTTAGCTGTTTGTTTCATAGATTTTCATCTTATTCCCTACCTATGCTCTCTAGGGTAGCCAGACAAAACTAAGTAACACTATAATCTTTATAATCATTTATAAAGTGTTGGCATAGCAACTAGATGTCACTGCCACTTGATATTTGAATGAATTGCTCTCGATATATACTACATTTCATGCTCCCATCAGCAATAATTTGAATAATCATGATTCCATCACATACCTCAGACTATCATGATGTTTTCCCCTAGAAGAGGTTATGCCTGAGCTCTTCAAATATGATCAACTCAATTGTATAATTCCCTGAGGCCACTATTGTATCAATCAAGGTCACAAAGTTCTCTACTCCAATGTAGTATTGTTCAAGGAAATTTTAATAAAGGGACTATTTGCAAACACGTGACCAGATCTAAGGACATCATAAGTGATAGTGCAATACCTTAGGACTAGTAATAAAATAGTATTCTGACCCTCAGGTCCAAGTTGTGAAGGGAAAGTCCCATCTGGAAAGGGTACCTCTAAAGCTATGTGTGAGGTTTAATGTTGAGAAAGCCAGCTAACACTCATGGAGGAGCAATTAGGAGAGAGAAGTACTCTCACCTTCCTCTTCTGAGGCAAATGAGAAACCACAAAGTGAGAAAACCTATTGGTTTAGCCAATAAAGATTAGCATATTAAAGCAAAATGCAGAATGGAAAAGATTGGAGAGTAGAAAGGAAGAGGCAAGTAAAAAATATTCAGTACAGTGCATTCTAATTTTTTTAAAATATAAGCCAACAGTGTTGCTTTATGAGAAACCCATGAAGCATAGAGTAAATATGAAAAATTGAGCTATTAACACATTGAGTTGAAGCCAAACTTTGAGTGTCTTAATATAAGGAGGATTTATTTGCAATACTAATTTGATAAGTAACATTCACAGTAATAAGTAACATATATATATATATAATGCATTTGAAAATAATTGTAATTCATATTAGCATTTTTATTAATTGTGCATCAGTACTGTAGGATTTTAAAAAATCCTCTGGACTTTTTTTTTACATGTTGATGGATCTTTATTTTATTCATTTAATTTAGTGGTGCTGAGCATCGAACCCGGTGCCTCACACATGCTAGGCAAGCACTCTACCACTGAGTCACAGCACCAGCCCTCTGAACAACTTTGTTTACATATTAAGGTAATTGTTCAAACTCAGGTCAAATGTGGTGTCATGAACATAATTTCACACATTATCTTCCTCATTTTGTTTTTCCTCTCAGTCTTTCTATAGATTTTGTGTAACCATACATCTATATATTATTACTGTTTTTTAAGTTTCTGCTGCCTTTAGAGGCAGTACATTTTAGAGGGTAAAAGCAAGACTGTGGCCAAACTAGGGATACATATCCTGGCTTGCTACTTTCTAATTAGCTGTATGCTCTATAGTCCTCATCTATAAAATGCAAATAATGATAATTATGTCCCATGAGATATCTTGTAGGATTCAAGTTTGAGATAATTATGTAAAGGGTTTGAAACTGTTCCTGACATACAGTAATATGTGAGCTAAAATCATTATTATAAAAATATTAATATAAAAATCAGTGGTTGTTTGTCAAGAGAATTTTCTATCCAAACCATCATTCATGGATTATTGGGAATCTTAGCTTTTATTTATCTAGTATTGCTCCCAGTATCTGGAGGTAAGAAACAGAGTGTACATGTAGTGAGCTTCTGCAATGGCCAGCCACTAAAATAAGCATGTTTACTAAACTGTCAATTTAATTGTCTTTATATTTTTCCAATTCAGCCCAGAAAACCGCGGAAGTAAAGTTCATCGATGTAATTCTGGGCGTGGTGGATCAGATGAGTGGAGTGACAAACTATTTTGCCCACTCAACGGTTTTATCTATAGTTGTGCCGCGCAACCGCAATGATTCCTACCTTTACTGTGGAAATGCTGTTACTATCTTCCCTTTATCATAACCTGTTTACAAACTCTAAAGGCAATTTCAATCCTAAACCTGTGCGTTTCTTTTCCTCTGCAAAGAACGACTGGCGGGTCCCATGCAATCATTTAAACGAGGCGCTGCGGTTTCATTGGCCAGAAGCTGCTGCTCATTGATTGGCTCCCTGGTGTTGTGGGCGGAGCGCGGAGGTGCCCATTGGCGGAGGCGAAAAATTTAAACGGAGGCAAAAGGCAGGTCTAGTTTTGCTCCGTGACTTGAGTTTGCGAGTTTGTGGGGTTGGTATCCTTTTTATTTCTAGGGTGTCGGCTTCTGGAAAACAAAGCGGGGTAAATTCGCTCCGACCATCTCCACGGCCGCGCGGTGAAGCGCGGTGAAGCGCGGTGAAGCGGTCAGCGTGGGTCGGAGGTTCCTGCTCCAGAGCAGCCTGGTAGGGGGTAGGGAAGGAGGCCAGGTCGGGGTCTGAGACTGCCATGGCGAACCGGCGAGTGGGGCGAACCTGCTGGGAGCTGAGCCCTACGGAACGCCGGCMGCCGGCGGGGCGGCGGGAACCAGCGGCCCAGGAGGAGGTGGCTTCCCCGCCGACGCTGTCTCTCAGCCACTTCTGCAGGTCCCCTTTCCTCTGCTTCGGAGATGTCCGCCTGGGCGCCTCKCGGACGCTGCCCCTGGTCCTGCACAACCCTAACGAGGAGGTGGCTGAGGTGGAGATCTCCCACTTCCCGGCCGCGGACCTGGGCTTCAGCGTGTCTCAGCGTTGTTTCGTGTTGCAGGTATGTCGTGGGGCCGGGCGTGCCTTGGGCTGCGCTTTCTACCCTGTCCTTCCCGCCGCCTTCCTCCGTAGGGATGAAGCTTGGGAAAGGAATGACAAAAATACCCTCAGAGAATGAAGGGAGAGTGTGGTGGCCCTTGACACACATTTTTCCACGCACATATATAATGTTAGGGCACTCAGTTACTTGGGCAGTGACAGTGCATCAAGGCATGCCTACTTATCTTTAACAGCATTCTAAGTAAACTTTATGCAAAAAAAAAAAAAGGCATTTAAAAATATGCTCCGGGTATTTTTAAATACTTTTGGTGTTTTTAAACTAATAGTTGGCACTAAGAGTACATTCAATTTAATTTTATTACATTTGTTTCAAGAACCTCCCACATAGCTTTTACAGCCTGCTTTGGCCAAAGTACTAGTCCCATTCCCATCACCACAAAAGAGAAAATTTGGTTCTTATTTTGACTGATGTGTCCTTTTAATTGAGTAGATCCTTGTAAAGCATGAAATCATTAACTAAGGGAGTCTAGATGGCTAATAACCACTTCATAAGGCAGTAGTAATTCAAATCTAAGGTCCRTTGCCTTCTGTGTCACTGCTCATCTGCACTTCAGAACCTGGCTGGTCTTGTTTATAAATGACTGCTTTTCTTCCTATGGAAAGTTAGATTTCTGTTCTGTATAGTGATACTTTTACTTGTTGATGTTGTTGTTGTTGTTGTTATAATGTAGAAGTAAAGTTCTTRTTTTCAGAGTAAATTGTTTTACACAGTAAAGATTCTGTATTTGTATTTTCTAAAACAAACTGCTTATGATGTTATATAGATTTACTTTTCAAACAAAAAACTGGTTTTGTCCTCTGACAAACAACCAAGGTTTGGTTTGTTTGTTATTGTTGTTTTGTCATGTCAGGGTTTGGCAGATTCTACTGGACAGGCTGTATGGTGTAGATAGATGTTAAAGTCTAAACTCTGGAGCCAGACTACTTGGGTTCTAATTATTAGCGGTATGACTTTGACAAAGTTTCTAGACATTGGTCACTTCATAGTTAACCAGTTGTATGAGATACCTGCARTTGTTCCTGAAACATACAGATTGTTTAACAAAGATCAATTTTATGATGTGGACTGTAGAGGAGTTTGTGAGAAAGAGGAAATTTAGTTGATCATCTTTATGTTTCTTTTTCCACAAAATCTTTATAATACAGGACCATTATATTTGAAATAGAAGTACTGCACATGATAAAGGAGTAGACATTTCAATTTTTTTTTAAAGCCTCTCAATTAAAATGATCTGGAGACTATTCTATTGCTTTCATCCAGTTAGATTTTTTTTTTAATTTTTTTTTGTTTTTTTAGTTGTCAATGGATTTACATGTAGTGTTGAGAATTGAACCCTGTGCTTCACACATGCAAGGCAAGAGGTCTACCACTGAGCCAGGACACCCAGCCCTCATCCAGTTGGATTTTATTATAGTTTTATGTTGTTATGAACCCTGTTAGTGCTGGTGACTATTTTCATTATAATGAAATGAGCAGATCAGGTGGGAAAAATATATTTGACTTACCAAATGCTTTTAGGATTTTAGAGTGTTCATGAATAATAGTTGTTGTATGRTATGCTTTGATTATTTTAATTATATTGTCATAATCATTTAAAATGTATTCTTTTGATTGTAGCCTAAAGAAAAACTAGTTATTTCTGTTAACTGGACACCATTGAAAGAAGGCCGAATAAGAGAGATTGTGACATTTCTTGTAAATGATGTTCTGAAACACCAAGCCATATTGCTAGGAAATGCAGAAGAGCAGAAAAAGAAAAAGGTAATAGTTTAATCATTCTATAATTTACTCCAAGAAAATGTTTCATAATGTGTAAAAATTGTTTTGATGACAAGCCTGAAGTAACATGTATAAATTGCTTAYTAAAATAATATTCAATGGTTTTTAATTTCATCAGTATATTTTGTTTGTTTTTACAGAGGAGTCTTTGGAATACCATTAATAAAAAGAAAAATTCAGCCTCTTCAAGTTATAACAAAAAGATTTCAAATGATCAAAAYGTTAACAAAACATTTTGTGTTTCTCAAAAAGTTGACAGAATTAGGAGCCCACTACAGGCATGTGAAAATCTGGCTATTAATGAAGCCTGTTCTCCAACAGAAAATAGTTCTTTAACCCTTGAAGAACATAAAATACCTATATCACCTATTAGCCCTGCTTTCCAAGAATGTCATGGTGAAATTTGCTTGCCACTTTCTGTACGTCGGTCTACTACCTACTCATCTCTTCTTGCATGTGAAAATGAGGAACAGTTAAAAGTAGAAGATGCCACCATTTCAAAAGATTTTAATTTTAATGAGGAAGTCATAACTAAAACTTCCTTTCAAAGTGAGGAGAATAGTAAACTTATTCTGACCCCAAACTGTTCTTCAACTTTGAACATTATGCAAAGTCAAGCMAATTTTCTAAGTCCAGATTCTTTTGTAAGTAATAGTCATACAGCTAATAATGAAGTAGGGTTAATGACATTTCTTTCATCAGATACTCTTAAAAAAGATAATTCAGAGTCTGTGAATTTGGAATCCAAAAGTATACATGAAATTTACAGAACAATTTTAAGTCCAGATTCTTTCGTGAATGATAATTATGGAGCAAATCAGGATCTAGAGTCAGATTCAGTTAATCCTATTTTATCCCCAAATCAATTTGTAAAAGATAACATGGAACATATATATACCTCTCAGCAAACATGTAAAATATTATCATTATCAAATGAAAATTCTCAGATTGCCCAGTCTCCTCAGCACCGGAGAAAAAATGAAGTTTTGCCATGTAGTCCTGAATATCAGGGTTCAAAAACACCCAAGCCTAATTTTGAAGAACTAAATCCTATAGAAGTGAAGTCAAGTTACTACAATTTTAGAAAACAAATTCACCCTAAATTTTCTGCAGTTCAGGATGTTTCTCATTATAGCCATAATAAGCAACATAAGAGACGCCCCATACTTTCTAACACAGTTATTAAAAGGAAGACCACCATTGCCAGAGAAAATCAAGCTGAGATTAATAAACCAAAAGCAAAAAGATGCCTCAACAGTACAGTAGGTGAATGTGAAAAAGTAATAGATCACCCCAAAGAAACAGAAGCTTTACATTCTCATCTTCCAATTATCGATTCAGTATTAAGTAAACCTAAGTGTTATAAAAGTGAAGTAACTAATTCAACGACAGCTTTAGTTGCTTGTAAAAGAAAAAGTGATGGAAACATGGAAGATACAAATGTGAAGGTTGCTATTATAGAACATATGGATATACCCAAAATCAAAAGAATCCACTTTTCTCCCTTGGAATCGAAAACATCAACTGTTAAAAAAATAAAGATGACAACACCAATCTCAAAACGTACTAGCAACAGAGAGAAATTAAGTCTTAAGAAGAAAACTGGTGAGTATTATTTATAAAATCTCTAGTGTATTTTCTGTTTTGGTTTAGTGAATCTGCTATTGATAAGCTTATTAACTTGTACTTTTCATTTGTCAAATTGCTCAGTGGAAGACAGAACAAATAGTGTGGGACTAATTTCTGAAATTGTTGCAATCTTGTCTGTTAAACTTTGGATATTTTTTAAAATTTTATTTATTTATTTATTTATTTTTTAGTTGTAGATGGACACAATACTTTTATTTATTTTTTATTTATTTTTATGTGGTCTTGAGAATTGAACCCAATGCCTCACTTGTGTGARGCAAGCACTCTTCCACTGAGTCACAACCCCAGCCCAAACTTTTGATATTTTACTCATGAATTTTCTGCAATAATTCTGTTTTTTAAAAAATATTATATCCAAATATTTATCTCAATTTGATATTTTTGGTACCTCCTTAAGTTTTACATCCTAAGAAAGTATTTGACATGTCTTGCCTTAGTCCACGCCCTAACTAGAAGACCCAGTGAAGTTCCTGGCCCSCATACTACCATTGGAAAGATTGTTGGAAAGACCTTTTCATGTCCTGTGCTCCTGATAAGCTTACTCTGTCTTCGCCTCTGCCCATCCACTAATTGGAAATGAAGATAGGTCCCTAGAGTTCTCCATTTCTTAGAGAAGAATATTTTTCCTTTTCTAGTATTCACAGCTTTATCACACTGCCTCAGAAGCAGACAGGATTAATCCCATCACACTTTTAACCCAAAATACCTCTTCTGACAATCAAGATCCAAGCAGGAAAGTAACCCACACTATGTATTTTACCAGATAATTTGAAAGAATTCTAGGCCTCCTAAGAAATATACACATCTCTCATTTGAACATCCCTCAATTTGAACTGTTTTCTTTCTCCTATTCTGTAAATCCTTCTATATCCTTTGGACTSACTGTTCTTCATTAGCACTTCTTTGCAAACATTCTCCTACTTTGTTTACCCTGTTGCAGCCTGACCTTCTCTTGACAACAGTGCTTTCATTATAACCCTCTCAAGTTCTGTCTGCATTTTCTCCTACTTTTATGATTTTGGAGCTCCTGCTGGAATCTTCTAATATCTACTTTTTATTTTTTATCTATTTCCAAACTAATATCCCCTCTCTCCCTTAAAAACAAGCAAAAAGAAAATAACAAAATAGCTTAAAGCTCATTTTTCAGACTTTCTCACCTCTGTCCTCTCTTGATTCAGAGAATGATTCACTCTCAAAATTTTGAATCTTGCTTATTATACTTTTTCTAAAACTACTACTATTATGATTTCAAAATCATTTTCGAATGTCTTTCTAATACTCTGGGRATTTAGTTCCAACCTCCTTAGGTCATGCTCTCCTAAAAGCATCTTAATCTCCAGTTACTATCTCTATAAGTTCCACATTTCTTCTAGAACCCAACTTCAACATTGTTTATACCCCACTGTACACATACAGTTCTTTAATCCACCACTGTTTCCATGGCCCTCATCTCTGACCTATCTATCTTTCCTAATTCAGCTTGAATTCCATGGTTCAACATAAGCACTTCCTCTGCCTTCCTTCCCTTCATTGTCCATGCTGCAAATTCCAACTGTATTTCAGTCTAACTTTGCCTACTCTATGCCTGAACCTTGCTTGGTTGTTCTTTATTACTACAAACCCCAAATAATCCCTGAACTCTTTTTATGGCTGTATTTTCCTGGCTTATTAACTTTGCTATAGGGTACCTCACCTTTTTCTCCTGAAACTTCTCTTTCCTCCTGTCTCATGATTGATAATAGTAGCTGACATTTACTGAGTTCTTTTATGTGTCAGACCTAGTTGTGAGTGCCTTACTATTACCTCTTTTAATATTTATGACATTCATGTGCAGTAAATGTTATTTTTACCCATAGCACAATTTTACAAATAGGTACATTGAGACTTGAGTAATTTGCCCATTTTATAGTCAGTCAGTGATAAAGCTGGGGTTCTACCCCAGGTAATGTCAGTTCTGTGATCCTCATCCAAGCTGATGACCCGTTTCCTATTTCACTGAGGGAGTAGAAATATAGATGCTTCTCTATTTATTAAGGATTACATCCAATAAACCCATTATAATTGACCTTAACAAGAAAAGTTTCAATAAAATAGCAAAAACTGATTGAAGTGGATTCAACAATTTTAGGTGATGAATTGGAAATAACTAATAAAGCTCCTTTCAAAATGATGTTTTACTTCAGAAAATAACTTTTAATTAAGTATAATCTATATGCAAAAATTATACAAATCAGTATATAACTCAGTGAATGATCACAAAGGGAACATTGACTCTCTTAAGGAGTTTTGCTTAAAAGAAAATGTAAGCAACATAAGCATAGAGCATAGGCTGAAGGGATAATTGGTCAATGAGTTCCACACTGTAAATCCAGTGATTATTTCTCAATCTTTTTTTTTTTTGTTTGTTTTGGGGATTGAACCCTGGTACATTTAACCACTGAGCCTCAGCCCTTTCCTGTATTTTATTTGGAGGGTCTGGCCAAGTTGCTTAGGGTCTCCCTTAGTTGATGAGGCTGGCTTTGAACTCATGGTCCTCCTTCCTTAGCCTCCCAAAGTGCTGGGATTATAGGCGTGCACCACCATGCCTGGCTATTCTCAATCTTCATCTTGAACTATTTGTAAACAGTTTGGAGCCTTGAACCTCTATCTTCTTGGAACATTTTATCTTGCCATTCTCRTTCTCCTGGTTTTCTTCCTTCTTCATTGACTGCTCCCTTTCAGTTTTCTTTGTGGGAAGTTTCTTATTTCCCTTACACTTTGGATTACAGAGGGCTAGTCATTAAACATTTTTATATTTTTACTCATTCTCTTAATGATCTCATCTATTATTTCTCAATAGTGAGGCCCAAAGCTGTGGAATTGTCTTTATTTGTGTTTCTCTCTCATCCTTTCTTTATAAACTCAAATGCAGATCTGATTCTAAACTCAGTCCACCAACAAATTTTCTCTTTCTTTCAAATATAATCATAATCTGATCACTTCTCACTCACCATTGAATGGCACCATTTGGGCCAGTCTTTGTCATTGCAGGATGTGCAAACAGATCTCCTTGCTTTCACCCTTGACTTTTCCATAGTCTGCGTACCCACATGCTACTTTTAAAATATTAGAGGCTTGGACTGTTCAGTTCCATAACATCTAATGACTTCCTGTTGCAATGAAAGCCAAAATTCCTACAATGGTTTACAGGTCCCTATAACATCAATATTATGACCTTTTGACTTTCCAGCCTCTTACTTTTCTCTTTCCCTTGCTCACTGTTTTTTACCACTTTGGCTTCCTTGTAGTCCTTGAAACTTCAAATACGCTCTGTCCTCAGGGTATTTGCAGTTTGTTGTTTTCTCTAACTAGAATGACCTTTTTATTTAGTTCACTTATCATCGTATCATGTTCAAAACAGTGACTTGACCCAGGTTCTCAAACRCTACCAAATATTTAGAGTCACAGTTTAAACTTAGGTTTACCTAGCTACAACATAATTTTTTTTTTCACCATTCTTGTTAAACTATTGGGGTTTAAATGGAAGAAAAGCTAAATAAAAGTTTTTATTTAGGGTAACGACCAAGGATTATAGTGATGGCACAATGGGATTCACTGGCTTCAAAGTTCTGTGCCAATGTATAATTATTAAAACAACTCTTCTAATTTTCCACTATGTGGTGTTTTTCTTCCTTGCTCAGGAAACTCCAATGGTGCTTTACTGTTATCAGATGATTTACAAAATTATTATTCTGTCATTTTAGGTCATCAGTTATAGGATCTCTGTTTATCTAGCCAGATATCTTTATTCACCATTCTGTCTGTGTATCCTCTTACTAACATTCATATCTGTTTTTCTCTCATTAATTCAATCCTTTATTTCAAGTACTATAACCAACTTTTGTTAATACTGATCTCTAATGAATTTCCCTCTAATTATATTCCCTTAGAAACTAATTACAGCTTATGTGACATCTTGAACCTGTTAATTCTATTTCTTGCTTTACTGTTTTTTGTAGATATGTTCTGATCCTATAACAAATTATTTGATTCTAAGAAACATATCCATTTTGGTCTTCTGCAAGGTATACAACAAATGATGAACAGAATGAATTCGTGAATGAATGAATCAACAAAGATCACTGAATTTTTGACACTCAAACCCGTACCTGTTTTTGAGGTCGCCACGTGGTTGAACCTCTTTGTTAAGTTTAGAGAGAACTGTACATATTTGGTATCTGATATATGAGCCCATAGAAGAGCCAGTAATTCACTAAGAGCTGCTCTAGCTTCTTTCTCTTCTGACAAACAATTCTCCAGATATATTTCTTTAACACTAATGAGGCCCCTTAATAAAGCACATATTAAGTGTTCATACATTGTTTAGGCTCTGTTTTCCCAGGGAAAAAATATAATTTGTATCCTCAAGCTACTCCCAGTTTTAATGATTAAGCTCTGCCCAGGGAATTATTGAAGCATAGAAGCAGAGATGTTGTATGAATGGCAAAGAATGTGATAAGGTACTAATGCAGGCTTCCTAATGAATAAAATGATTTCTTTCAATGCAGAGGGACTAGCTTGTTGAAGGTTGCAAAGTGAGTCTCCCTATTATGTTTTAAATGTTCAAATAAAAAGAAAATTATAACTTAATAAATGTTATAACTTGATCATGTTCCTTATCTTCATAATAGGTATAGATTTGAGATTCCTCTAAAACCGAGTAAGCAGCCTTTTTTTTTTTTTTTTTTTAGGGATTTTTTAAAAATAACTTTTTAAATACCTTTATCTTATTTATTTATTTTTATGTGGTGCTGAGGATCGAACCCAGGGCTTCACATATGCTAGGCAAATGCTCTTTCACTTGCCTACTACAACCCCAGCCCCTTTTTCTTTCATAGTTCAGATAATATTTTTGGCTATGCAGGCCATATTTCTATCACAACTATTTAGCTCTGCCATTAACAATGTGCCTGTGTTCTAATAATTTYTTATTTATAGGCACTGAAATTTGAATTTCATGTAGTTTTTGTGTCATCAAATATTATTCACTTCATTTCCCCCCATTCATTTACAAATGTAAAAACTATTCTTTGCTTATAGAACATACAAAAGAAGATTGTGCTGGATTTTACACATGGGCTATAGTTTGCTCTAATTAGGAAAGATGCTTACATTTAGTAGCAGAATATGCTGGTATGAAACCTGCTTTTGAGAGAGTGAACTGCTACTCCTATAGGTATTTGCTACTATGAATTTTATTGCCTTTTCCTTTATAATTACTTGCTATTTATTAATCATGTAAGCTATATACTTGGGAATCAGWCTGTTCTCATTCTTCACCACTTTCCTAGTGAGTTGGTATTAAGACTTATTGTTTCGACTATTAAAACAAATCTGCTCTGTTTCCTACCTTTGTTAAAAATTGTTTTATCATATCTAACTTGGCTAATAACTACCTTGTAGTTTTTTATCTTTAGTCATAACCCCATTCATTTTCTTGCTTATATTATTTTCAAAAATAAAGATGAAGGTGTTATTTCTTGAAATAAAATCTGTCACTGAAATAGAGGGTACTTCAAACTTGTTAATAGTGCAGGCTCTAGAACTTGACTACCCAGGTTCAAACCCCTGCTGCTTCCTAACTTATGTGACCTCTAAGCCCTAGAATCCTAATTATGTAAATTTTGGATAATTATAGTACTGTTTTCATAGATTTATTTCGATAATTATATGAGTGAAAGATTGATACTTAATAGCTCTTGGCATAGTATATTCAATTATTAGCTGCCACTATTACTAATATTGTTGAACTCTTCCCTTCCTCTTCCAACTTCTTTTATGTAATTTCTTATATGTGTTTATTCTTTGTTGTATCCTTGTTATAGTTTTGTCAGCAAGCCATATCCCTTGTGCTTAATATTCATTTTAGGAGTTAAGCACATGTATATTTTCATCCAGAAGGTCGTTTATGCCCCCTTTAAACTTTTTCTGTATTAGACTTAACTGACAATTATCTTTCTATTCTGTATAGACTTAACTGACAATTATCTTTCTATTCTGTATTTTCCCTGTACCTAACACAGTCTGGAATATATGCACACAGTCAATTGTGGTTAAATCTGGACAGTAACTTCTGTAGACAAAAATTAAATGTTTTTTTTTGGTTTGTACATTCTAGATGTTGGTTTCATTGACCACTAAGTTCGTAATACTAGTATGTGAAGCATAGTAATTATTAAGTACTTGCTAAATGAATATGATTATGAAGAACCCATACTTTTAATTTTAAATGAGCTACCAACTTTGGGAATTTTATTTTTTAATGCTATTAATTTTGTTTTCTAATATATTTTAGATTCAATGGCATTCAAAACTCCTATTTCTAAAACAAACAAAAGGATAAAACCCATTGTTGCTGTGGCACAGTCTAATTTGACCTTCATAAAACCATTAAAAGCAGGTAAGTACTTATTATATTTAAACTGAAAATATAGTTYATTATATTTAATCTGAAAAAGTGACATGGAATGAAGCATCAATTTCATTTCAAATGGAAATGAGTTTTTTTAAAAATTTGAATAAAGGCCCTGAAGAATTTTTAAAGTGTGTATGCAAATTATAATTAAGGTATTCTMTCAGATTTTACAGAAATTGCTTCATGGTAGGTTAGGATTTTTAAATAATCAGAGAATTTTGTTTTATTCCCTATCATTTTGCTTGATCACATTTCATACCCAAAATGTTTTCAAGTCTTTGCAGCAAGTAGTGAAAAGCAAATATTGTTCAGTTTTTTTATTAAGGTTTCACTAGTTTTAAAAAAAGGTTATTTTTCTATATATTGTACAGTAATTTACTAGAAATTTTTATATGTAATAATCTAGTTGTATTCTTAGATATTCCTAGACACCCAATGCCATTTGCTGCAAAAAACATGTTTTATGATGAGCGCTGGAAGGAAAAACAGGAACAAGGATTCACTTGGTGGCTAAATTTTATATTAACTCCGGATGACTTCACTGTAAAAACAAGTATTTCTGAAGGTAAACATTAAGTTAATGTTTAAATTTAATAATACTCTTGTTTTAGCAGACCAAAATTTGACAGGATTTGTCATTCTTTAATTATATATACTTTACTTATTACGTTATATTTCACTAATTYATTGACTTAAGTTTTTAAGATTGTGTAGGTAATTTTTCTTACATAGGTTGACATGAATAGATTTTCTGTACTAAAAGTACTGAAACTTGCTTTTTCTTTTTACCTTCCATTCTATCACTTTATCAGCCAATGTAAGCAGTCCTTTGTGGCCTGAACATTTTGGATGTATTGACTCCACTGTTAATACCTTAGTTTAAGAAGTAGGTCAGAACACTGCATAGTACAGGGACTGTGAGAGACAATTCAGATGAAATTTTAAAACACTGCAGTGTTTATTCTGGAAGAGAAGACTTGGGTGTGGGATAAGGTAGAAGCATGACACTTCGAAACATTTGAAGGATTTTCTTCTGAAAGAAAGAGAAATTARCTTTTGTGTATTCTTCATAGAAATTATAGGAATCCATTTCAGATAACTAAAATGATTTTAGTTATCAAACCATTGTGTAATCTTGCAAAATGGTGATTTCCCCATTGTTGCAATGTTCAAACAGACCATATTTCACATTCACCAGAGAAATGTGTGGGATTTCTTCTATTAGATGCAGAGTCTCTGGTTTAATTCCTAGGTCCTTGATCCATTTTGAGTTAAGTTTTGTGCATGGTGAGAGATAGGGATTTAATTTCATTTGATGCATATAGATTTCCAGTTTTCCCAGCAACATTTGTTGAAGAAGCTATCTTTTCTCCAATGTATATTTTTGGCGCCTTTGTCTAATATAACTGTAATCATATGATTCTGTGTTCTCTATTCTGTACCATTGGTCTACCAGTCTGCTTTGGTGCCAATACCATGCTGCTTTTGTTACTATTGCTCTGTAGTATAGTTTAAGTTTAAGTTCTGGTATAATGATGCCACCTGCTTCACTCTTCTTTCTAAGGATTGCTTTTGCTATTATTTTTTCCAGATGAATTTCATGACTTCTTTTTCTATTTCTATGAGGAGTATCATTGGGATTATGATTAGAATTGCATTAAATCTGTATAGTACTTTTGGTAGTATGATCATTTTGACAATATTAATTCTGCCTATYCAAGAACAAGATAGATCTTTCCGTCTTCTAAGGTCTTCTTTAATTTCTTTCTTTAGCGTTCTGTAGTTTTCATTGTAAAGGTCTTRCACCTCCTTTGTTAAATTTTGATTCTCAAGAATTTTATTCTTTTTTTGAGGCTATTGTAAACAGGATAGTTTTTCTCATTTCCCTTTCAGAGGATTTGTCACCAATATACAGAAATGCATTTGATTTATGGGAATTGATTTTGTATCCTGGTACTTTGCTGAATTCATTTTACTAGTTTTCTGGTGGAGTTTTTTGGATCTTCTAGGTATWGAAGAATCATAGGCAAATAGTGCTAATTTGAGTTCTTCTTTTCCTATCTGTATCCCTTTAATTTCTTTCATCTAATTCCTCTGACCAGTGTTTCAAGAACTATGTTAAAYAGAAGTGGTGAAAGAGGGCATCCCTGTCTTGTTCCAGTTTTTAGAGGAAATGCCTTTACTGTTTCTCCATTTCAAATGATGTTGGCCTGGGGCTTAGGCTTATCATAGATAGCTTTTATGATGTTGAGATATATTCCTGTTATCCATCTATGTTCATTAGAGATATTTGTCTGAAGTTTTATTTCTTTGATGTGTCTTTGCCTGGTTTTGGAATGAGGGTGACATTGGCCTCACAGAATGAATTTGGAAGCGCTCCCTCTTTTTCTATTTCACAGAATAATTTATAGAGTATTGGTATTAGTTCTTTAGAACTCAATTGTGTATTCATCTGGTCCTGGGCTTTTTTTGGTTGGTAGGCTTCTGATGGCGTCTTCTATTAATCTGTTTAAATTGTGTATATCATCCTGATATTCAACTTGGGCAACTCATATGCCTCTAGAAATTTGTCAATGCCTTTAATATTCTCTATTATATTGGAGTACAAGTTTTTAAAATAATATCTAATTATCTTCTGTATTTCTGTAGTGTCTGTTGTGATATTTCCTTTTTCATCACGTTCATCGGTAATTTGAATTTTCTCTCTCCTTCTCTTTGTCAGCATGGCTAAGGGTTTGTTAATTTTATTTATTTTTTCGAAGAACCAAGTTTTTGTTCTGTTAATATTTTCAATTGTTTCTTTTGTTTCAATTTCATTGATTTTGGCTGTGATTTTAAATATTTCCTTAAATATGTCTTCTACTGCTTTTGGTGTTGATTTGTTGTTCTTTTTCTATGGCTTTGAGATGTAATGTTAAGTCATTTATTTGTTGACTTTTTCTTCTTTTAAGGAATGAACTCCGTGCAATGAACTTTTCTTAGAACTGCTTTCATAGTGTTCCAGAGATGTTGATATGTTGTATCTGTGTTCTCATTTACCTCTTAAGAATTTTTTAATATCCTCCTTGATGTCTTTTGCAACCCATTGTTCATTTAGTAGCATATTATTTAGTCTCCAGTTATTGGAATAGTTTGTATTTCTTATTTTATCATTGATTTCTAATTTCATTCCAGTATGATCTGATAGAAT